ACATGCGCGCGCACACACACGCACACGCACACACACACACACACACACACACACACACACACGCGCGCACACACAGAGTCTCCACAGGGCAGGGGCGTAGAGGGCAGGGGTGTAGAGGGCAGGGGTGACACAGTAAGCAGAGCTGTGGACAACTACATTACATTACTGTCATTTAGCAGGAGCTCTTATCCAGAGCGACTTACACAGGTTACAGGTGATATTTTTATCCAGCTATACAGCTGGATATTTAATGAGGCAATTGTGGGTCAAGTACATTGCCCAAGGGTACAGCAGCAGTGCTCCAGTGCGGAAATTGAACCAACAACGTTCTGGTTACAAGCCCTACTCCTACACCACTACACCAAACACCACACCAGGCTGATAACCTGGCTCACCTGTCTGTCTGCTTCTTAGAGCAGCTCTGCTCCTCAGCAGACTCTTCTTATTACACTCGTACCCATTACAAAGATTTAGTCCAGCTCAAGAGACCCACCACCCCCACATAGTCCAACAGAAAGGTAATCAACACAAGCCCAAGAGCTGGAGTTCCTCCAAGCTATCCCCTCAACACACTGAATGTATTATTAGACTTGGCTGTAAACGACCAGGTTTTTCAAGCACAGGTGAACTTTTGACTGAACAAAGATCAGGGGAAATGAGCTACGCTGACTCAATAAAATAGCATACAAAACAACAACATGCATTTACCACAAAGAACATGCGTATAAAACTGAAAGGGTAAGTGTAGCATAGTGGTAAAGATGCAGGGCTCATAACAGAAAGGTTACTGGTACCATGCTCAGGCACTGCTGCTGTAATATTGTGAGTGGCTCTGGATGACAATTAATGGCAATAATGTACTGTAACAGGGATGGAAATGATTGACACACAATGGATTCTGCAAAAAATGTGCATGAATGTATACTGAATATGGACACGAATATAATGCTGCATGAGTGAAATCATTGCTTCCATTCCCCACATACAGACTCATGACAGACAGACATGATCTGGCCTTTGTCGATGCTTATTCAACATCTACATTAAGCTTTTAAAACAGACAGGGAGAAAGGAGAGAGAAAGGAAGGAAGGAGAGAGGGGGGGAGCAAGAGGGGAGCAAAAACTGTATGTGACTATGGATGTGAATGTGAAGCTGCATTAGTGAATACACTGCTTCCATTACCCATGTGCAGACAATAATGAGCTGGCCTCTGTCAATATTGAGCTTTTGAGGTAGACAGAGAGAGAGAAGAAAGGAGGGAGAGAAAGGAGAGAAGGAGACAATGGGAATGAGAGAGAGGAGAGAGCGAGGAAGGGAGAGAGGAGAGGGGAGAGGGACGGAGAGCAAGAGACACAGAGAGTAGGAGCGAGACACAGGTACACAGAGCCAGCGAGAAAACCCAAGATGGCCGCCAAGACACAGATACAGACACCACAGAAGAAGATAGGGAGGGGGGTGGACGTACTCCTTGAGGGCCTCAGCCTCGTCCTGGCGCCGCCGCGCCTCACTCTGGAACTTCCGGCGGAGCAGCCGGGACGCAGCAGTGAAGCCCAGCGCCGACAGGCCGGCCAACGCCACGCAGAAGAGGCGGAAGGAGAAGAAGTCCTCCTTGTCCCAGAAGGAGTAGGACAGGAAGACGGAGAGCGAGCCCAGGGCGCTGAAGAGCGAGCAGTGGAAGTTGAGGCGCGCCCGCTCGCCCGCCGACACCGCCAGGTCGGCCAGCAGGGCGTTGTGGTTGAGGTCCACCGCTGTCAGGAAGCCGTCGTACAGGCAGAGGCACACCAGGAACTGCAGCGCTGGCCGCGCCCACGCCACCCAGAAGGCCAGGAAGGAGAGGGCCAGCAGCGGCCCATTCCGGGACACCGAGCGCAGGCGCTTCAGCACCACCTCCGGGGACGAGATCTGCGGCCCCGCCCTGCGGAACGGAGAGGGGGGGAGAGAGAGAGAGAGAGAGAGAGAGAGAGAAAAAACAAAGAAACACAGAGAGAAAGAGACAGAAAGAGAGAGATAAGAGGGAGAAAGAATGACAGAAATAGAGGAAAAATCAGAGACAATGAGAGAGAAATACAGAAGACAGGGAGACAGAAGGAACAAGAGAAAGAGACAGAGAGAGGAAGAGAGATGGGGGAGTGAGAGGGAGAAAGAGGAACAGAGAGAAAGAATCAGACAGACAACGAGAAAGAACGAGAGAAGAAAGAACAATAGAAAAATAGAGAGACAGAGAAAGAAGAAAAAAAGGGGAGACAAAAAACCCTCTTTTAACCAGCTTGGGCCAAGAGCTGCTCTTTAAGCATGAAAACATTATTTGCTTTCATTTAGCAGCTGGCTGAGAACTCAAGAGCTGCATGTTTGTGGTCGGTGTAGCTTTGAGCTCAGTGAGTTTCAGGTCACACTGCAGGGCAACATGAGAGGAATACTTAGACAAACTGAACCTTGGGGGGAAAAAAACAGGTAGATGAAATATAAAAATGTAATCTGAAAAACTTGAAAAAAAAAAAAACTGGAGCTCAGAAGCCCCCTTAGCTAAAGTGTTTTACTCCCAGAGAAAATAAATTGTTTAAAAAGCTGGAGTGGATATGAGGGCCGGGGTGTGGAGGCGGATCTTACTGTGGGGAGCTGAGAAAGGAACGGTCACTCAGCCAGCCGAAGAGGGGGTCATTCAGACTGTTCCATATCAGAAACACAGTCTGCGGGGAGGGGGAGAGAGGGGGAGAGAAATGAAGAAACAGTGAGACAGGGAGGGGTAGAGAGAGAACAAAGGACAGACAGAATGAGAGTGACAGAGAGAGAGGGGGAGAGAGAGAGAGAGAGAGAGAGAGGGAGGAAAGAGGAAGGGAGGGAAGGAGAAAGAGAGCCAAAGACAGACGTTAGATAATCAGGCCTTGAAAAGCCACACCCTTTGGTTAATGCATGACAAAAATTCAATACACAAAGACACTCACTTATTAGGAACATGAAGTTAAGCATCTCCACGTTCTGCCCTCCCCGCTACCTCCACCGTGTACCTGGCGCGAAACTCACCTCTCCCACCCAGAAGGAGACCTTGTCGATCTTGTAGACAGACACAAAGGTGTCAACGTAGTAGAGGAGGAAGACGTTGTGCAGGATGGAGACGAAGAGGGACAGGGAGCCGTACAGCACCGCTGTGGGGACGTCCGGCCAGCAGCTCCACGCCCTCGCCCCCATCGCTCTCTCTCACGCTTCCCCTCCCGGCTGCCACGCCTCGCCCATCTCCTGCGGCCCGCGCCGGGTCAGCCCGAGACTGCACCCTGAGAGAGAGAGAGAGACACACACACACACACACAGTGATACACATGCACACAGACAGACACAGACACACAAACACACACCCACGTACACAAACAGACACAACCAGATACACATATACACACACACACACAGAGCAAATAAGTTAGAGAGAAGTATCCCCCACAGGGCATATAAGGTTCACACAGGAGCTGTAGAGTTCAAGGTAACGGCCGAGGGCCATGGCTTCAATATCTCAAACAGTTGCACTTGATGGTGCATAAATAATTTTTTTAAAAAAAACCACACCAAGCTGAACCAAGTTTAACAACTGAGTTGAGGCACAGGCAAACAGCGCGAGCGTTTTCTTTTTTTAAGCGTCCCTGAGGGATTATTGCGGCACTCAAGCAATGATTTTAACTGGAACACCCCACCATCCCCCTTCAGTTATTTTCCATTGGTATTCTGGGGGCTACTCAACAGCAGCTCAACAGTATCTGACAGGGAGGCTGTAAAGAGTCTGACAGGGATCCAGGATCACAGGTGAGTGTGAGACCCTCCCTAAAATCCCTAGCCTGTGACTCTGCACAACAACAAGACCCTGAGAGCAGCTGGTGAGGGCACTAATATATGAGAAATGGGTGGGAAAGCAGGATTTTTAGCAGACTGTAGGGGAAAAAAAGAGCAGCCATCCTTAATTTAGCTGTGGTTGACCACTGATTACGTGCTACAGAGACCAGTTCACTGGCCTGGAAACTCCACTGTTGTGGCAGCCACCATATCGCTAAAGGTTTCCTCTCAAAGCTCTGCGTGAATGTACGTGCACATCATCAGGGTGTGTGTGTGTGAGAGCAAGAGCATGTGAATGAGTGAATAAGCACCCTGTTTGTTTAAAACTTCCCCTTCAGATAAATAACAAGGCCGGGAGGCGAGCCAGAACGGGGCACAAAAGCGACTCGGAGAAACACACACACACACACACACACACACACACACACACACACACACACACACACACACACACACACAGCAGCGCTCCCACGCTAATGACTGCTGGGTCCAGACCCAGGGCCTAATAGTGTTTCCACGTCATTCAATACCACGATCGATCTGGAAAGCAGACAAACAGCGTCTGAGCCATACAGCGCTCTGAGTGCACCGCTGTCACCTGCCAGGCCAGCCCGGAGGAGACCTGACTCACAACTAACTTCTAAGGGTAGTTAGACTAGTTAAACTAGCTGGTTAAGGGTTAAGGCCCGTCCACATTTAAAGTGACTCGCTCGTCGCGTCGCTGTGACAGCTGGTCGCTAGTGGGCGTTCCAGGCTCTGGTTGCCTAGGTATCCCTCTTGTATGTTTCCCACCCCAAATGTTTCTGAGTGAAACAAGCAGTAGCTGGCTAGTTCTACAAGACCATAAATATAAATATATTATATAAATATAAATATATCGCTAGTGTATGCATATGGACAGAGCTATGCTTCAACAGTGACAATGTCATCTGTCAGTCAACGGTATCCTTCGCTCCCATTGGTAGTCGCCTCGATCGCGTCGCCTCCAAGTTGAGATTAACTCGGAACCCTCCCACTTCGCATCGCCAACTCTCATTTCGCCTGACATCGCTTCAAGTCGCCGAATTTCATTAACATTCCATGGTCTCTTGTCGCTTGTCTCTTCCAGTGTGTACGGGGCTTTAGGGCTCAGCGTTGTCATAGATACTCCCATATCAATTTTGTTATGACACTTTCATGTGGCAGCAGTGTGGTGTAGTGGTAAGGAGCACGGCTCCTAACTGAGAGGTCGCTAGTTCAAATCCCCCTGGAGCACTGCTGCTGTACCCTTGGGCAAGGTACCTAACCCACAACTGCCTCAGTAAATATCCAGCTGTATTAATGGATAAGACTGTAACCTATGAAATTCGCTCTGGATAAAAGCATCTGCTAAATGACAGTAATGTAATGTAATGACACTCTGGGCGGTGTTCCACATTGTTCCATTGTTTCAACACAGCTGCTGGACCCTGTCCGAGGGAGGAAAAAGCCCACCGGACGATGAGACTGTAACATAAGCCTCCCAGTGCTGTGATTCCGCTCAATCTCTCCGACTGCCCCGCCCGACGCCTGGCCTCCTGTATCATGCGCTACCCCCTCGCTACAGAAAACACAGCCTGGCCGTTTCACACCCACCTGGCACCGACCCACTCTCCTTCTGTCAAAATGGCACCATGTGCAACCCAAAAGTCGCAAAAAAGTAAATACTTTTCTTTTTCAAAACCACAACCTGTGGCGTTATGAGTTTCCATCTGTGACTCCAAAGCCCCTCCCCCACCCATAGTATAACCATAGTATCCCAGCTGTTTGCAAGATCAATTTTCCCAAAATGCATTGCCTGGCAGCAGGCCTTTTCCTCCTCAAAGAGCACAGTTCTCACACGTGGCCTTGCAGAAGCAGGTGGCCTCGGGTTCCTCAGCTGACGTGTAAACTGTGCAGGACCTGACATGCCCTGCTCCGGGCTGCCAGAAACCACATTCTACTGAACAGGAAGGAGTGGATGCCACTTGTGTCCATATCTCTCCCCCTCTCTCTCCATCTGACACTGATCTGATCAAGGCAGAGATTGGCAAAAACAGGTCCCTTCCACTGCATATACAATCCTATCACCCTGTGAGCGCCAGCGCTTCAGATAGGGGATGTGGGCACAGAGTAACGGTTATGATATGCTGACAGATAGGAGGTAGTACCATAGGATAGGAGGTAAGAGGAAGAGCTAAACACCTGTGCCTGCCCTCCCTCCCTCTCCCTCTTAACTCAGTTCACATTCAAATTCACTCTTGGCCTCACAGTACAAGTGTGCTGCCAGAGCATTTCAAAACACTACAAACAGGCACAGTACATCACCATACTATATATGCAGAAATTAATTGTCTCCTTTCATTCTAGGACCAGGGCTACTTTTGTTTGAACGGTTCACATACCCCCTTCTCCCCCCTCCTGTCTCACAATACTGACATATGTGCCGTGCCGTGCCCCCCTCCCCCTCCCATATCTCTCCATCTCTGGGACTGGGATGAGACAGCAGAGAGACGCATTTCTCCCCGAATGACGTTAATCTGCCCTTTAAAATAAATAAATAGAAACAGGGAATGTTGTTCCCCCTGTCGATCTCAATTTCCTTCTTTGCACACACTCAGCGGCGAGGGAGGAGCCGGCGACCGCGCTGGTCTGGACAAACTATCGGAGAGAGTGGAAGCAACCAAACGCCCCATCTGCGCGCTCTTCTGACTCCACGTCTCATTCCAGGGAGTGAATGTGAATAACAGCTATCTCTACATTTTGTGCGGGGACATGATTTCCAAGTCCTTACCAGAGCTGTTTTTTTCGCCATGAACGCAGCAGGAAAGTGGAATACTGCCAAGTAATGCCCACGCGGCGTTTTGGTCACCCGATCTCGAGCTATTTAGAGCGACTGCTTGACGAGACACGTGATTCTAAATGATATATCTTTCTGTACAAAGGAGTCAGTATTAATTAACAAGTAGCTGGCGCGTTTATCGTAGTAAACACGCAGTAAAAGAAACATGCATTACATAAACTCTTTCCCGCCTTAGCCCCAGCGGCCTACAAATAGCGACTTTTGGAGGACTTCCTGCTCTGATGAGTTGATGATGCTGAATTGGGTGGGTATTAGAGTGCTTTGGTCACTATTTAATCCCATCTGAACTGATGCTGTGGTTTTGCGGTAAAGTCATCAACTGGCAAGAGTGATGTCTCTATTGTCGTTATTAAATATCACTTTGTTCAAAACTTAGATTTTTTTCTGTGCTGCACTCCTTTCAAAAGGAGCGCTTGTCATGTGCTTCACAATATCAGTGGAATTACAGGTTCATTACTTTGAACTGAAGAACCAACTAATACAATACATAAAATATTCCAAAGAAATATTTCAAGGTGCAGCTCGTGACTACAGCTGGACCTTTCCTCCCTCACACGAAACATTTCAACGAACAATATGTTACCCAATAAGCCAATTAGCTACCTACAACCGATGACTTGCTACCAAGCACGACACCCAGGTCTTAAAATAGTGAAGATATAAATAACCCTCTCTCTAGCCAACACACATGTGTAGCAGAGCTGAAGTGATTAGCTCGTGTGAGTCCTGAACCTTGTGTAGCGGGTTGCAGGTAGCCGAGCAGTTTCAGCGGCTACGCCACTCCCCAAGACCTGGTTAAGTAGCGTCGTTGCCAACAGGCTAACGGCAATTTGCCTTTGGCTCAATTGGCAACGACGCTGGCCGTAAGGGGTTGGCAGCGAGCGGTGAGAACCTCGGTTCGAAACTCGCTCGCTCGCTGACCCTCATAACATCTAACTAAACACAACGCAGTCAGACCACACCCGTTACATTGGTGCCGTTACACATGCACTAGATATCTTGTTAGCGCGTTGCCAGGTAAACGTGCCCCGTAATCTTTATTCCTTAGACTGACATTAGTTAGACGAGTTGCTCCAGCTGACGTAGGGTTTCGCTGGTGTCTGTGGCACTTTCAGAGGTTTAAAATATTTACAGCAGAGGTGGACATTTTTGGTTGTTTGAACAGTGTATCAACAACATCATCCCATACATACAGTACTTTTTGCTTGGATTTTTACATAACACATTTAAATATTTAGAAACATGAAATATTAAGCGAATTTGTAGAATATTCTCCCTGAACAGTTGTTGTTAACACACTATTTAAACATTGGGGTTTTGCCTGTTGAAACCAGGACAAAACATATTAATCGTGCGCATCATACACATACAGACGCTACGTGCTTTTCCGATCCGTCTGAAAACGTGTCATTTTGCCAGCGATCAAGGCGGCTTCCCCGGCGGCAGGAGGTCCCCTTAGTCACGACTACACGGCGCGGAGGAAACGCCTGGGATCTCCCTGCGTTTATACATTCACGAAGACGATCTCCGCGCAGAAGAACCCCATATCATTTGTATATTATTTTTTCCCTACACAAACATGTAGACTGTAACCTGCTAGAAAGGAAAACGAGAATTTTCATTCACAACAGCTGACCGTTAGTTTACAGGAGGCTAACAGCTGGGTACAGCTAGCTAAGTTAGCCATTTTCTAATAGTTGGTGTATTTCACCAGGATATTAGCTTGCCAGCTAACATGAGCTGTCTAGACATCGAGATTTCGACTATATGACAAAATTATGTTAATGATCCACGACATTTTATCGACTCGGGCTGCTTCTATCGACAGGTTTCCGTCCACAGGTCCTAGCTAAGTTAGCCGGCTGGTTAGGTACGGAAATACCCAGGTGATTTCAACTACCATGGGATTACTCTGGATTTCCTCGTGATTTTATGATTGTCTTATAATATGTCGCTAGCTGGCTAGCTAGTGCAAAACACAGACTAGCAACCTACTCAGCATAACTGGTATAGCAGGCTACCTAGTTGGACAACACGATGGCTTTGTCTGAACTTGTTTGGTGTAAAAAAAAATGCTCAGCCTGTTTGTAGATAGCCATCTAGCTCAAGTCTCAGTATCGGAAATCACAGGTCAGATAGCTAATGGTAACTAGTTAATCTAGCCGGTTGGCTACAACGCTAGCTAACTTGACTAGCAGGGTCGCTATTTCTTCCATTCATGTAGCTAGGATTACACCAATAGGGAAAAGAAAAGTAGCTTACCATATTTGAAAAAGCACCTAAAATTTTGAGCTTTTGAAGACTGCCCCAGTAGAAAAAATATATATGTGACAATTTCCACGGCTAGTTACACCACTCCTCCACCCCCCACCTCTCTTACAACTAGCAATGGCACATTAAACAGCCAGGAAATCTAAACACGTCACCATGCAGCCCTCCAATCAATGGAGCTTTTCGTTCATGACGTCGTTAGGTTGGCAATCTGCTTTAGCTGGGTTCATTCATCCTGAAAGGGCTGGCCCAAAGCGCCATCTACTGGCTATATTAAGAAAAGCCTCAAATTCTTACGCCGGACCCTGGCCTACACCTTCAGTACCAACTTGAGACACGTGATGCGGAATTTCCATCGAAGCCAGTTGTAGCTTGTAGGCCAAAGACAGTCACGTGAATTATAATATCTTTCTTTTTAACTGAGAGATTTAGCCTCTTTACTACGAGAGACATTGGAACCGGAGTCAAATTCCTTGGTCAGCAAAGTCTGATTCTGATTCTTTATCAGCTGTTTTGTTAATACAGTGATTTAATCATTAGGGCTGGAAACATCTAGAAAAAACTTGACATTATATATGTCACATGGCAGTAAATAAATATAGTAAGCATAGCAATAATGATACTATTATAATTTAGCTATTGCTACTTTTTATATTATCAAGGGTTTTACATGTGATGTATGTGTTTATCATAAAGTACCCAAACACCATATGTTGGAAACATGCAAGCAGTAGACCAAATTTTGTTTGATTTCTGTCTCCCAAAAGAATTTTTTAAAGGGAAATCTGGTGGTCATGTGCTCTAAACTTTTGTCAATTATCAGTAATCTATGGCATGTACAGGGAAGCTGTTTACCTGCTGCCAGGACACTGTACCTTACAACAGGTGACAGGTGGTAGGAAAGCCTGGGCTTCATAATTACTTTTGCTGTTGCATAAATCATGTTATTCTGCTGCACCTGGTGCACTCACCCGCGTCAGTGCAAATGTTGCTTCAACAAAAAATGCTTATTTAGCTCCAGAAAGCAACTTGGGAGCTCAGAAATGTTCATTTTCCTTATGTTTCTGAAGATGTCTACCAGAAGCTAGCAGGTAAGAATAGCGTTTTGGTCAAAACACTGTTTTTGCTC